CAAAAATGTCATGTCTGACGTTTTTAACTAAAAAAAACATTTTTTTGATTTTTTAATTACAAAAACGTCGAGTCTGACATTTTTAATTAATAAAATCATTTTTTTTTTGATTTTTTAATTACAAAAACGCCAAGTCTTACGTTTTTAACCAAAAAAATCAATTTTTTTGATTTTTAATCAAATCTAACGTAAAAAATGATTTTTTAATCATAAAAATGTCAAGTCTGACGTTTTTAATAAAAAAAATCAATTTTTTTTATATTTAATTATAAAAACGTTTGATGACCTGACCCAAAATTTTCGAGTCAATCTGACAGTATAATGATTATAACTCACTAATAATTACCAAGTTACTCTAGTTAAAGTTGAAGATTTGTACAAAGAAAACAAATGATAATGATTATTAAAGATTTTATAAAAGTTATAAGAGAAACTCTAAATTTTTCCAGGAAAGATGAAAGCGTGGGAACTGATTAGGGGTCTTTTTAATAATCAGTTTAATAAAATTGGTCATTGGTTATTAAAGAGTTATGGAAATCATTGCTTTAATAACGTTGCTAGAAAATTATGGTTAGACAGATGCGTGAAAGTGAAAATATAGAAAAAGAATTAGGGATAATCAAGAAAGAATAAAGAAGTAAAGGGAAAATGTCTAATATTGATGAGAAAGGAGGCAAATATTGAAAACAAAATGATGAGGAACTGAATTTAATGGCTAATATTTAACATGGCATTCGGTATGAAAACTTAGTTATGTTATGTAAAACGTTTAATTTTATTTTATAATTTTGTTTTAATAAGAAATAGATATTAAAGTTATAAGATATTATTTTTTATTAATGATATTTTTAGGTATTCCTACTAATTTATAATCTATGCCCGATCATCATGTCTAAAAATTTTAGGACGGAAAAAAAGGTGGAAGAGTTCAAAAAGTGTATAAGGAAAGTTGAGTTTTGACGCATTACAACATCACCAACTATTTATTCATTTCTTATAAACACGTAGATATGTTTTTTTTAGCGACTTCGAATAGTAGTTTTCAATTTTCTTGTCCAAAAAATTATTTCTTTTTGTTGGCTAATGGTGACGACACATAAAAAGGGCCAAGTAGGGCGAGTTGTTGACGCTGAAAAAAATTGATAGAAAGCGATAATAGTGGTTCAGGATTAACAAAGTAAGCTCACCTTTCAATAGTAGAGGATGGCACTTTGGCTCTCTGGTTTTTTTGCTTTTTCTTGGGAATTTTTTGTCACAAAATTTTTCGGTTGCCGCAGCAAAAAATTTAGCAATGGAGGAACGAATTAGAGTGCGAGGTGACTTATTGTGACACAGAATTCTCAGCACAAATTTAGCCGTTGGCAACCACATTAAAATAGATTGGATCGTTAGGAACATTCTCAAGTCACATGATTTCACGTATTATAAAACGTTTGATATTTGCTCCTCTTATATCGACCGATAAAAAGAAAGGAACTACTGATTAGTAAAATTTTCGAAAAAAAAAGAAAAAATAATCAAAAATCATGTAATTATGATCATTTTATAGAACCTTATTTAGTAAAAGATTTACAATTTACTAAATTAGTTTGTACTAGAGATTACTTAATGAATCATTTGGTTACACAATGTTTATGAATGTAACTTTATAAGTAGAATTTCGGAGACCGTTCCAAAAATATTTTTTTTTCTGCTTCAGAACTTATTTAAAAAAAATTTACAGTATATTTATTTCATTATGTCTGTTATTAGAAAAAATTTAATTGATGCTGCAATTGATAGAGCATATGCACTTATAGATTATAATATTCACAATAATATACACAAAAAAAATGAATTTCAAAAACAAGTAATTCTTGCTGATGAATCACTTACAAAAGATGAAAAATCTGAAGCAATAAGAGAATTGAATAAAATTTACGACCAGGATAAAATTATTTATAATGAAGGAACAAGAAGAGTTTGTGAAAATTGTAACCAAAAATGTTTAGCTACATTATATTGTGAATTTTGTGTTCGAAATTATTTAAAAGCAAAATTTTCAAATTGGACATCTGGAAATGATGAAATTGATAATTTAATACAAGAATGTCAAATGAAAGCAATTGAACCAGCTAATATAGTTGAATGGATTCCGTATAGTAATTTAGAAAATATTAATTATTTAACAAAAGGTGGATACTCTGAAATCTATACAGCAAAGTGGATTAATGGAAGTTATGATGAATGGGATTCTAAAGAACAACAATTAATTAGACTTGAGGAACAAGATGTGGTACTTAAAAGATTAGAAAATGTTGAAAGTGCAAATAAACGTTGGTTTGAAGAGGTTTGTAATCTAATAATGTTACAATTATTTATTTAAAAGCTTTTATAACATTTCTTTATTTTATAGGCTACTTCACATTTAAATATAAGTAATAAATGGTCAGATTCGATTGTTCAATGTTATGGTTTGACACAAGATCTATTAAATGGAGATTATATGCTTGTAATGGATAAATTTGATACAGATTTAAGAAAATATTTACAACAAAATCATAATCAATTTACATGGAAAGAAAGAATTCAAATTGCTGTTAATATAATTGATGCACTTTATAAAATTCATCATTATGAAAATGCAATTCATAGAGATTTGCATTCCGGAAATATATTATTTAGATCTAAATTTAATATTAGTGATCTTGGATTTTGTGGACCTGCAGATAAACCATTAAAAAGTATATATGGAAATCTTCCTTATATTGCACCAGAAGTTATTGCAGGAAAAGAAACTACTTTTGAATCTGATATTTATAGTATTGCAATGCTTATGTGGGAGATTTCATCTGGTCAACCACCATTTATTAATTATGAACATGATTATTATCTTGCAATGAATATAATTAAAGGTATAAGACCAAAAATTGTACCAGGAACTCCTATAGAATATAAAAATTTAATGATACAATGCTGGGATGCTAATCCGTTAAAGCGACCTGATATTAATACACTTTCAGGTAAAATAGATAAGCTTAATCTAATTTATCAAACTAAATCAGATGATTTAATTCAATTAGAAGAAAATGATAGTTTATATATGAATAGTTCAGAAAATTATACTAGCAGTAGCAAGTTATTTACAAGTAAAGTTCATCAATTTGAAAATCTTCCTGAACCAAGAAATGCAACAGAAGGTATTTATTATAATATTAAATACATTAAAAGAAAAAGTTTAATAACTAATAAAAATATTCCCTTTTTAATATTATAGAAGAACAACAAGGTATAAAATATAAATTAAGCAATTTATAATTTTTATTATAAATAATTAATTGATAAATTATCTTCTTTTATTAGCATTTCACAGTAACAAATCATATGACTTTCATATCCCTAATCATAGTAAGTATTTATTAAGTTTATATTAATCATTAAACGGTATAAGATATTTATTAATTGATTTTGCTTTTTTAGTTGATGATATTGGTAAATTGAGTACTCAGAATAATAATTATTCAAAAATAAGTAGGTTATTTTATTTAATATTTATTTTTATTATGAATTTATATTAATTATTTTAAAAAAAATTTTAAAAATTTTAGCTAGCAGTAACAAATCATTCAAAAGAAGATTAGAGAATGGCAAGTAAAATAATTGTTATATTTGTCTAATTGTTTAATATTAAACGCTGTTTTTGTTTTAATTTTTAGATTTTCAAGAAATAATACAACAAGTGAAGAGATATCGTATTAATATTGATGGTATATTCAAATAATTATTTGACCTTTCATAATAATTATATTTAACTTAATTTTATATTTCCAAATTTTTTATTTATAGACGAAGAAGAAATATATAATAATCCAAATTTCCATTCTGAAGAACAGGATGAATTTGAACTTCCCGAGAGTATGTATTTTAAAAGTTCAAGTTTGTTTAATCATAAAAAAGTTTTTGATTACTAAATTCCATTTTTTTATTTAAATGATATTCCTTATATTATATTTAGATATGGATGAAAACTAATTGACATTAACATTACATTATTATATTTAAAGTTGTTATAAATTATTTAAACACTAAGACTAGAGTAGTAAGATTAAACATCTTTAAAAGATTCTTAGTTTGTAATTTAAATAATTTTTCATTTTCTTTTTTTCATTTTTTTTTTTTTATTCTTTTTGTTTTGTTTTTTTTTTTGTAATTTATTTTCTTTCATATTATTACTTATCAATAAATTACTTTATGAAATTATTCAAACCATATATATCATATTCTCAAGTTACAAAAATCAATGAAATATTTATTTTTTGTAAGTTTGTAATTTCTTTTTTAGTTTACATCTCACGTTATTATTACTGTATACAAGTGATGACAAAATATTGGTGAACTTTAGCAATTTTTTTATTGTATTTTTAATTTAGAATTTTTATTTTTGTTTTTGTTATGATATTTTCACAACCAACTTGTTTTAAGATGACAACTAAAGAAAAATCTGTCTTATTATCTTTAAAAATTTCTTTGGAATATCTGTTATTTTCTGAATTCTTTCTATACAAAAAATTGTAAAATGCATTTGAATTATCGTACAAATATGTTTCTGGTATATTTAAGATCAACAGCTTATGATAACTTTTTAACATATTTATGTAATTAAGTTTATTTAACATAATTTAATTTAACAAAAAAAAATTATATAAGGTTGAAAAAATGATCGGCCTTCTATAATAGGATTTTTTTCAAAAAAAATAAATAAATAAATAAAAGTATTCCTATTCAAAAAATTAAAAACAATTTTTTTTTTCGTCACTCCTTTAAAAAAATTTTTTTTTGATTTTATTCTTTTATTCCCCACTCACCACCCTTTCTTTTTTTTAAAAAAAATTTCCTTTTTTCTATATCCTCTTTATAAAAAATTTTATTTTTCTAACTTTGACGTCCTTCCTTTTAAAAAAATTTTTTTTAACTTTCCTAACTTCGTCACCACTCTTTTTAAAGAAAAATATTTTTGTTGATTTATTCTTTTATTTCCACCTACTGCCCTTTCTTTTTTATTTATATTATCCCTTTTTTTCATAGGCTAGCAGATTTTTTTTTGAGAGTTTCTTTGTTCTTTTTTGTAGATCAGTTTTAGATTTCTTTTTGTAAGTTGTTTCAGTTTTATTACTTCAGAGTCTTCTTTTTTTTGTAGGTCAGTTCTGGATTTTTTTTCTTTTGTAGGTTGTTTTGGTTTCTTTTCACCAGACACTTCATAATTCTTTTCTTTTATCTAGGTCAGGCATTCTGGAGTTCTCTTTCTTTTTGTAAGAATACTGACCCTTGGTGACTTGGACGATTGCAGATACTATATGAAGGGGTTTTGGTTTCCAATTAAGTTAGATGTTCCTATATTTCCTTTTTTTGTTTTTTTAGGTTGTTTGACTCTGAATGAACTTGAACATATTATAGATAATTTTGGTTGCAATGGTGGTTTTGATAAGGGAATTTCAATAATGTACTTGTATTTTGTTTATTTTTATTTTTTATTTAATTTAATAAAATAAAATTAAATTTATGTAAATACAATTATAATAAACTGTAATATAAATAGTAAATTCAGTGACCAAATCGTATAAATTTCATGATAAAATCAGTAATCAAAACATGTAAATTCCATACGAATCCTGTGCAAATTCTGTATAGTGATATGGAATTGTACATTTTTCCGTATCCTTTGAATGGACTATTATGATACATTATTATAAGGAAAAAAATTGTACAAAAAACGTATCCAATTTTTTTATAGGGACTTGTTTCGGAATAGTAAAGTTGATCCAGCAATGTTTTGCATATACAAGTTTTTCTTGTAATTTGGTAGAATCTGTCATAACTATAATTGGACTATTACATTTAATGCTTGATGCAATTTGTGAAAATTTCATAAAGTTTTCAAATACCAAATCAGGATTAGTAATTATTTATTGTGAGAGTCATGACTGCATTATTCTGTTATATCATACTTTAGGCCAGTAAAATATAAAATTTCAGACCAGTGAAATGCAGTAGAATATTTGGCAATTAATCCTACTAATAAAGGATATTAAATAAATAATTTACAATTAATATCATTCACACAAAAATTGGTTATACAATAAATATCATTCATACAGCAATCATACAAAATCAGTTAAACATTGTACATACAAAAATTGTTAATAATATTTATTCAATTATTTACATTATTGATATATTACCAATTTTTATAAATTGACCATAATCATGTCAAAATTTAGACGATAATTGACCAATTTTTAATAACTTCTGAAATTAAGCCAAAATGTGTTGCAAACCTGCTAAACTTTTGCTAATTTGTCATATAACTAAAGTTTGATTTTGACCAGTATTTATTAAATTATAAAAAGTTGTGAAAATCAATATATTATATTTATTGTATTTGCAAAAATTTCTATTAATACTTTCTATGATTAATGAGAAAATAGATACTTTGGTATAGCTTTTATTTATCAGATAAAAATTCTGATTAGCAAATACAGATTTTGTATATTAAGAATCTAGAATCCCTGGGTCCATGACCATTCAGACCTGAGGACCTGAGACATTTTTTTCTGGATAAACCCTAAATTTATCTTCAAAAAGGTTGGCAATAGCTACAAGGTATGAAGTATGAACAAACATATAACCAACATACCATATATAGACTTCTTCATGTTTTCGCTTTATAGAATCCTTTTATATTAATAGATAATTAACAAGTTATAAAATTTTTATACAAATTTCATAACTTATTCTCTAAGACACTAACCTTATTTAATTCTATAATCACTTCTTTCCAGTAACATTCTAAATCTTTTACATATGCTCTTTATTTACCTGTTATAAGAAAGATTATTAGCAGTGTGTACAAATTTTTATTTAATGATAAAAGAAGATACATAGCCTGTTCCTCCTCCAGAACAAGCAGACTTTTACCAATGACAAATTTCAGGCACCTGAATTAAGAATTTGGATGGTACCAAATTTGCTAATCCAGTAATTCTCCTAACTCGAAGCATCAATTTAAGAGTTACCCTCACTTTGCTAAATAAAAAAAAACACACCTTTTCCTTTATAGAAATTAAAGATTCTTCATTAATTATTTGATGTTTTGCTTCCATTAAAAAGTGACTAACCAATGATTATTAAGTTCCTTTCAATTATTAGTTGGTAATGATGAAGCAACAATAGTATCTAAGTATTTAAGATTTATTTACCCTTATGTCCAGGATATAGTTCAATCATAATTATTTTGTTAAATAAAAAAGTAAGGTTTTGTTAAAGTAAGATTAAAAGATATAGAAAAAAAAAAACTTTTTTAAATATAAGAAAAAAAAAAAATAATAGGATCTTAAATACTAAAAGATACTTATATGTGGTATGACTTGGACTGACATATTATTATAAAAAAAATAAATAAGCATATCTAATTATAGTAAATTACCTAGCTTTTGTCAAGTCTAGCTCATTATTGCAAGTAAGATGATACAGAATGATATGGTTTCACTCACTAATTATTATGAAACAATGCAAAATTGAGATAATAATCATCATGAGTCTAGTGCCTCGACCCGTATCCGGATCAATCCGGATTGATCCGGATTTTTTTTTTTTTCGGATATCCGG